CACAAGTTTGGTTCAGTGTATCATCCCCAATCCCAGGGAAAGGTAGAAAGGATGAATCAAACGCTAAAGGTCAAATTGGCTAAAATCTGTGCACAGACCAAATTAACTTGGTTAGAAGCTTTGCCCCTTGCTCTGATGTCCACACGGAGCTCTGTTAACAAAACCACAAGGTTCACTCCCTTTGAACTACAGACTGGACGGCCGTTTCCAGGACCTGCCACAAAATTACCTTTGACTGCTGACCTGACTGACTCCCTCGACTCAAGGTCATATTATAACCTGTTGCATAGTCTTGTCTCTCAGTTCTCATTACAGGTTAAGGCTGACAGTACCACCACAGATGCCCCATCACCACAACCTGGGACAGACCGGGTCCTGCTAAAAGTCACCAAAAGGAAGTGGACGGAACCGAGGTGGACCGGACCCTACAGGATCACGGAGAGGACGTCACACGCTGTCCGGCTGGACGGTAAAGGAGACTCCTGGTACCATTGGACCCAGTGTGCTGCAGCGGAAGAGCCCCACCGCACCCTGACCGAGGTCCAAGAGAACCTGTCACAGAGGGAGGATCCTGACCAGGGAAAAAGACCTACGGACCAGGAAGAGAAGCAGCTGACATCTGCCTGACCAGAAAAAAGGATCCAAAAACCAGGAAGAGAAGTAGCTGACTGCAGTAGCGTGCCAAGCTACCACCACATCCAGCAGGACGAGAATCGTGACATCATCACCCCTTGCAGCTGCCTGGAGCCAGTGAAGGGACCTCAACAGGGGGAAGAAGTAATCACCCTTCAAATAATCTACAAGGGTTCTATTTAACACCCTTCATTTATCTTACAAGGGTTATATTTAACACCCTCCATTTATTTTATCAGGGTTCTATTTAACACCCTCATTTATTTTACAAGGGTTATATTTTACACCCTCTACTCATTTTATATTATTACTCATTTACCTGTTTAGTATTAGATATATGTTTGCGCTCATTGCATTTCTAAAAACTTAATGTACATATTGATCACTCACTTGTCCTGGCCGGAAGAAGATTCAGAGGGTAACATAATTCAACGAGAATCCTTTCCATTAGCCTGGTATCCAAGTAGACTGAACCGGTTGGCATACAGGGACAGCAGGTTGGGGTTGTGGAACGACAGATACTTTCGCGATTTCTCCAATTTAGAAGATTTGGTAACAATAGCAATTTTAGCATATAGTGCATTCTCTGGTACTGATTACAGCAGCTATAACCCATACAATTTCTTAAATTAACACCTGTATAAGCCTAATTATGTCCTGGCCATTCCCTCCCATCCTCACGTGCGGGCAACGCCTCCTGATTCTACTTCTCACTGTTGTCCTTCTATGTATCCCATTGGCTATTTTGTTCCTCTGCAATGACCTCCCCTTGCCACCCTCACCCCCTACATCCCCTGAGGCTACCCCACTAACACCAACGGCCCATCCTCCACCACCTATTGACCGGCACAAGCGATCCCTATCTCTTCCATCCCCCTCACCTCCTTGTACCTCTGATTTTCTCTATCTAACTCAAGCAGTTACCCTATGTATTCCATTATCCACAGCCACCACGGTTACACTCCCCTACGACGTTCTGCCCTCAAACCCTGCACATGGTCACTACACGCCATCTGACCTTAAAGAGCATGTTTGGTACTTAACGTGGGGATCTTACTCTCAATGGAAGTGGAGTAGTCTCGTTGCTGAAACAGGCGATGATTGGTCATCCTACTCCAAAGGAGTAGCTACAACTTGGCGTACCAGAATCAAGTTGATAAAACAAGGCGGATCAAAAACAGGCCCTTTGACTTTCATAATTAGTCCACTACACTCCCTCGGATGTACCCTATTTGTACTTGCTCCTTGGATTAGCGGGAGCTACTACTGGACAGTGCACCTCTGTGTCCGTAATATTACTTCACCTACCTCTACCGTCTTTGATATTGTCGGGATAAGTAAATCTACCTCCCCTCCTGTGTTAGCAGACATTACTAAAGTAAATAAACCCTCTTCCGCGATAACTATTGAGACGAAAAACCTTTCTGTTGATGAGACATTCCAGACGGTTACCGGCATTTCCGCTAGCACTAATAATTGGTTACTCCTGGCTGAACAAGCAGCTAATGCTTCAGATCATGATTGTCTTGTTTGCCTCTCAGCTCGTCCTACTCTCCGTATTGTACCACCTCCGATCCCTCCAGAATGCGTCCTTCATTTGATGAACGGGACTTCCCTAAATTCCATTTGTACCAAGTTTGGACAAGTCTTTCCAAAGCAAAAACCAGGTGATGACATAGGTACGCCCTTCTTTTCTATTATTGTGGCCCCTAATAACTTCAGTTGTATTCAACTAATTGGACGAGGCGGTCCTTTTCTGGGGAATGTCACCACAAATTGGTGCGTCAATACAACCGTGTCAGTTTCTTCACAATTCAAACCCAAAAAGCGTGCCAATCTTTGGTTGTGGTGTGGTGCTCCTCAACTCTATAATGGTTTTCCCAGGAAATCTTCAGGTTTGTGTGCCCTTATTACTTTACTGTTACCTGTTACTGTTACCCCCGTAACCCTTCACGATACCCCTATTTCCAGTTACTACTCCAGCACCCGGCGAAAGAGATCTTTACCAGCTTTAACTGCATTTCACAATCCCACTTATATAGATGCCATTGGCGTCCCCAGAGGCGTTCCAGACGAATATAAATTAGTTGACCAAATAGCCGCCGGATGGGAATCTATATTTGTCTGGATAACCCCCAATAAAAATGTCGACCGCATTAACTACATCCATTTCAATGTTCAACTCTTAAGTAACTATACTCGTACTGCACTTGAGGCAGTTCACCAACAACTATCGGCTACTTCCTTGATGGCCTTCCAAAACAGAATTGCTGTAGACATGCTGTTAGCTGAAAAAGGGGGCGTGTGTTCCATGTTTTCTCAGGATTGCTGTGTCTTTATCCCCAACAATACGGCCTCGGACGGTAGCTTAACTAAGGCCTTAGACGGCCTCCGCTCTTTGACAGAAAAAATGAAATCCCACTCTGGTGTAGACACCTCCATGTGGGACTCTTGGCTTGATGTATTTGGTAAATACAAATCCCTCGTTGCCTCCGTCCTGGTGTCCATGTCTGTCTTCGCTGCCATTCTTGTTACTTGCGGCTGCTGCTGTATCCCCTGTCTTAGGCAACTAGTCCAGAGATTGATAACCATTGCCATCTCTCCTCCACCTGCTGACCCCATTCTCCAGATGCCATTGTTACTAGCCAATCCTAACATCTATTTGGGAGGGGAACCCTCTAGTGATAGTGATGACTCTCATGATGAAGAAGATGATGTTAGAGTGTGAGAATGTTCAGTGATTTATGTAACAATCCCTTCACCTGTTTATTTCCATGAGTTTTTGATTGTGTTGTTTTTATTTTTTGATCATTGATGAGCTAGGCATGCCCGCTCTGTGCCAACGGTGTTCGTCCCAAGAAAAAAAAAGGGAGGACATGGGGGAATTTTCCCTATTAACGTACAGTAAAATAGGGTTTTTCGCCCTCATACGGGGTGAGCATGCGATACATTCATGAACTAACATGTTCAGTTAAAAATATAATCATGTTTTATGTATTATTTTACTGCTGGGAATATGAGAAGCTGTAATCTGATTGATTGTTTGTATTGGTATTTTACAACTTTGATTATTAGATTCTTTTTGATGAAATTTGGTGTTGTTGTTTTGATTTCTTATATCTTTGTTGAACTCTTAAAGAGTTCAAAAGGGGGATTGAAAATATATGTATCTACCTTATAAGCTTCTTTTATATATTTACCTTATAAGCTCATTTTGTATTATTCTATGCTATGGAGACTTGCTCAGATACTCAAGGCCTCTGCACAAAGATTAATAGCAGCATATTCTCTTCTGCACCAAAGAAGGGAGTGAGCACATTCCAGCTCTTCTCACTTTACAAAACGGTACCGTGTATGTGTATCTTTTCCTGTCAAGGACGTACCAGGATGTTCCTAGTTATCTCACGGATGCATGTTCTCGTGATGTATTAACTGTCCACTAACAAGGCTGTTATTTTTTCACCTGTCATGACCAATGACGTATGTACATGGCAAACTGCGTATGTTTAATTCCTGTAATCCTCAATAAAAATCAGCCGTTTCAGCAGAACGGAGAAAGTGTCTGAAGGCAACTGTCAGGAGCAGATCGCGGGATCTGCTGGAAGTTGCAAGCTCTCCCCCTCTAGAGCGGTGAAACAGTGAATGGACTTCTCTGATCATTTGACTCCACATTCTACCCACTAAAAGGTGTTTATCTCCATCTTCTCCGTACCTGTGTTTGGTCTAGCAGAAGAAAGACCAACAACCGGTACCGAGAGGAACTTGAGAAGAGCTGGAATGTGCTCACTCCCTTCTTTGGTGCAGAAGAGAATATGCTGCTATTAATCTTTGTGCAGAAGAACACTGAGAGGCCTTGAGTATCTGAGCAGGTCTCCATAATATAAAATAGCATAGAATAAAACAGAAGAGCTTACAAGGTAAATTTAAAGGAGACATAACATGAAAAACCCACTTTTTTATCCATTAACACAGTGTGTTTCACATTTTAATTGTCTAAGTGAGCAAAAAGGCTTATATTATTCACTGGAGTTGCTATTTAGATATTTAATAATTAAGTTTTGGGCATATTTGTCCACCCGTTCAGTTTTTCACATTATCTATTACATCTATTTCGTCAGGATAACTACCAAATATGGTAATGGCCCTCGGCTAAACACAGAGCCAATCCGCCATTTTTTCTTCTCGCTAAGATTTTTTGTAGTCCTATTGGAAAAATGCAGAATGTCTGGTTATTTTAGCCACACACAGCTCAAAACTGTTCCTCGTTTTAAGGAAGGGTGGTGTGGCAGTATTTAAACCCAGGAGCTGATGACACTACTGCTAAAAAAACACAGAAGAAAAAGTAGTGTGTTTGTGTGTGTGTGTGTGTGTGTGTGTGCGCGCGCGCGTGCGTGGTTCGTTCGTTCTGTCTCCAGGCTAGTGGCTAAGTACTGAGGGCTTCATCTATCTAAAAGGAGTCATTTCCATCTGAATGTGGCAGCACCGGGACACAGCAGCAGAGCGGTAAGCTTCATATCACTCTAAAATGTCGACAAACTTTACTTTAGATTTACGGGCATTAGCAGCACTAAAGCATTAGCATCCGGCTTGCTATCGCTAGCACAGTATGCTAGTAAAGTTAGCACCCAGATTAATGTGGATTTGGCTGATTTTCGTGGAATAAAACGTGATTTCTGATCAACGCCTTCTTTTACACCAGATGATAACCTTCCACTGATTGTAACAGCAGAGAGCCTGTGTGTTATTTTACGTGAGTGTGATGTAATCTTAGCATCCAGTAAATAAAGTCCCATATCAGCTAAAATGCAGCGTGACAAAGTCGTTAAAGTGCGTCAACACAGTGGATTTAATACAAGTTTTAAAGAACAATCTCTGAGTGGAGTGAGGTTAGTTTTTTGTCTCACTGCAGATATAAAAACTAACTCTGCATCAGTCAGACGCAGCAAAGCTCACCGTCTGTATGAGCGTGAGCGTCGGAAAGCTGATAAAATCGGCTGTAAAATAAAACAAAAGTAAAAATGCTCCTTTGCTTTTTACAGTCCACATCCAGAAGGCTGGAGCCATGTTTCACTGACAGGCTGTCAGACTAAAGCCCTGATGAGCTCAGCTGGGACAAACTGGTCTGATGTTTAGGTAAGTGAAGATCTGCTTCTCCAAGGCCTTGAGATGCTAGTAAAAAATAATTTAGCCAGCTTGCTGTTACTTTTCTTCTCCTCTAAGGAACACAGAACGTTCAGATGTTGGACCTTCACTTCACCTACTGAGGAAGGAGACCCACCAGTAAAGAGATGGTAGCTGGACCAGACCAAAGTGAGTGATGACACACCTCAGCCACCCTCATCATTAAGAACACCTCACCCCCTGAATCCCTCCGTCTGATGACAGCAGAGTGATTTATTTGATGTTTTACTTGTTTAGTCTGTTTAGAAATGATTGAATTACATTATTTTCTGTAATCGACCATCTGATCTGGATGTGTGCAGAATAACTTTCCCCAAATTCAGCAGCAGCTGGCCTACAAAAACAGCTGCAGCATGTAGTAAGTCTGTCTGCACTGCTCTCTAATGAGCTTCCTTTCATAAGGAATCATTTGTATAAATTTAGTGTCACTATTTTATTACATTTGTAAGAATATGAAGTCACTGCAGCAAAGTGAACTTGTGAACAAACACAAACGTGACTATAAACATGAAAGCTAAAGAAACGACTTTCCTAAAGCTGCTTGTAAACAAAATATGTCATTAAAGTTATTGTCTATCATTGCAGAATATGGCGATGACATCATTGAACTGGTCTTTGGAAAAGTTTTCCCTGAACCAACTCCGTTTCTAGATGAGGTAGAGAAGACCTGCATCTCACCAACCCTCTGATCTCAGTTTTCAGACAACAGAGGTCTCCCACTGTTATCCAGGACCAGTTTGAAGCCCACATACTGCCCCTCCCTCATCATCAGGAAACATCAATCCGTATCCTGAGGACAACAGAAGACGGCAGGAGGACAGGAACTCTGAGACCTAGATACCACCAGCACCGAGACACAAAGCACCTGTGTGCACAACGCCTGTTTAACTACTAAAGCCTGTTTATTATATTGTTCTACTTATTTGCTGTGAGGTGAATACTTAGAAAATTTGTATATTAATGTAAACAATTTAAAAAATCACTGATTGTATGTTTTCTTTTAGATGTAATGGTCCAAACTCAGCCTTGTAGACATTTATTGCATCCTGTAGGTAAATACACAGAACAGGCTCAGATCCAGGATGACCCAGCATGCTCTTCTTCCATTCTGGCTGTTAGGGATTGTATCAATAACTCAATGCCTACTGATGTTTCCACCTAACGGTATTTATTTAGAATGCAGGTAAGATTTAACTATGTTTGTTAGCAAAGCAGACTGATCTTGGGAATTTCACTGCAGCACTGATGTCCACCTCTCTGTACACATTAGAGAGAATTACCACTTTACAGCAAAACACACATTTAATAAAGATATAGGCTACACATTGCAGACAATTAAAAAGTTGTAAGCATTAGAATTATAATGATCACATTAAAGAACATTTGGAGGAATGTTCTTTATTTGTCACTAGAATCTCAAATCTTTAAATTAAAATGTAACTGCTTTTTATCCATTTTCAGCCATTAAGACACCCAATATTAAATAAGACTACTTATAAAATTATTTATAATTATATGTATGTATATATATAGATAGAGATCTTAATAAAATATATTCTTTTAATGGTGTTTTAATGAGCTGTATCATTTTTTAAAACATTTTTTATAGAAATAAATAAGCAAGCAGCATTCCTTGTGTGTGTGTGTGTGTGCGCGCGCGCGTGCCTGCTGCTTGTCCTTCCGTCGGCCGTGACGGGTGTGTGTGTGTGTGCGCGCGCGCACGTGCCTGCTCACTTGTCCTGTCGGCCGTGACGGATGTGTGTGTGTGTGTGCGCGCACGTGCCTGCTCACTTGTCCCGTCGGCCGTGACGGATGTGTGTGTGTGTGTGCGCGCACGTGCCTGCTCACTTGTCCCTCCGTCGGCCGTGACGGGTGTGTGTGAGTGACTACAGACAAATGCATGAGAGAGTTAGCAGCCTTGAAACAGCTTGATGAACTACTCTCCCCACATGTTTTAAAAATGCTAATATGCTACGCTAAATCTGCTATGCTAAATAATGATTTCTCTATAGAACTACAAAGTCCGACTGGGGGAGGAGAGTACAGGTCTGCACTATGGAGGGGGGGCGGAGTTTACAGCTCCTCCTCCAGTTTAAAGAGACAGTACCCCAAAACGGCTCGTTCTCAAGACTCTCCTCAGAACAGGGGTAGATGAGGGTCTGTAGAGCAACAATAATGAGGAAATCAGACCAAAGAACTGCAGTTCCACTGTATTTAGACCCCAACTGAAGGATTTAGATGTAAAAAGGAATAACTTAAAAGCATGTTATGTCTCCTTTAAAAAGAAGCTTATAAGGTTGATACATATATTTTATAAAAGAAGCTTATAAGGTAGATACATATATTTTCAACAGCTTGGTTGAAGGTTGCATTCCCACGTACTTGGTACCACTGGACCTGCTCAAAGATAGTTTGACAGCTGCTACCCCCTCTACTGTACACCTTTCACAAATCTGCCTAGCGTACAGCCTAGGCAGTGCAATTCCCATTCATGTTGATGCAGAAAATTAGAACTCGGTTTCCTGTTAAATGTTCCCATAATTGTGACACCTCACATCTATAGGCTTAAGTCTCTGCTAAACGTTGGTATTTAAAAGGACGGTTGACATTTCCACCTTGAACTAGAAACCTGGCACTTCATCATCCCAACCTCGAACAGCATGACTCAGAGATTGGGATCATGGACGCTTTCCAGGGTTATAACTTTACCATCGATTTAGAAATTGACCAACAATTGCTGATTGAAGGAACCAAACTTGTTAAGTTCACACAAACCCCGCGTGAACTTACTCTGACACCCATGAATAGATACCCAAGACGCTACATAGACACAGATTATATGAAAATATATTCTCATATGAGCTCTTTTATATTAGTATAAGCTCTTTTATATGAACAAATATGTTTCTCTCACTTATGCTCCTTATATATTATCATGAATACATTATTATATGCCTTTTCTTGGAATCTTGTTATAATATCGAAAACCTCTCTGTGCCTTTTCTGCTCAAGCTGAACAGCTGCATGTTTTCCCCTGCACAGAAAAGGGAGTGAAAGTGTTCCTTCCTTCAGTTCCTCAATACAAGAACAACTGTCTTTGTTAGCAAAGGATGTTGCAGGATGTGTCCTGGTCATCTCAAGGTTGCATGTCCTTGGGATGAATTGGTCTTTCATTAACAAGGCTATTAGCTGACGTGCGTCTGCAGGTGCAGATGGCAGAATTACGTGTGTGTATGGCAAACTGCGTATGTTACATTCCTGTGCTTTTCAATAAAAATCAGCCGTTTCAGCAGAACGGCGAGAGTCTGTCCGAAGCAACTGTCAGGAGCAGATCGCGGGACCTGCTGGAAGTTGCAAGGCTCTCCCCCTCTCGAGCGGTGAAACAGTGACTGGACTTCTCTGATCATTTGTCTCCACATTCTACCAACTCAAAAGGTGTTTAACTCCATCTTCTCCGTACCTGTGCTTGGTCTAACAGAAGAAAGACCAACAAAATTTGGCGTCATGAACAGGATTTTTTCTTTTTGAAGAAAAAGGAGTTTTTGGAGGACGATTTGACCAACCGACCCAGCGAACGATCTTGGCACAAAACACCGCGGTGAAAAACTAAGGTAAGCAGGCCTTATTTTCTAAAATCTGCTCATTGGATTTATCCAAAGCCTTTGTGTCCAGAATCATAGTAGCTGTGGTCCTTAAATAATAGTTGGAGAAGAAAGTGGAGGCAAGTGCAGAAAAAATAAGAGATTTTTGTAATGGTTTAATGGTAAAATAAGATAAGGATTTTTTACAATGGTTTAATGATAAATGAGATAAGGAAATAGTACAGAAGAGGGGTTGGAGGCCCAGGGTTATTAGAAAAGCCCTAAAATCCATTTTCCAGGTCGTGGCTGACCACACTATTTGCTGACGAGTGAATAGAAAATATAACGAGGTTATATAACGCTTGGCTAGGATTCCATAGGGGTGGGAACCCTAAAAGTCCACAGGTCGAGGACCTGGTTCGGGTTAAGGCCCTGGGAGGCTAAAGAGAGCTCCCTAAATTTTAAAGCACAGGTCGAGGACCTGGTTCGGGTTAAGGCCCTGGGAGGCTAAAGAGAGAGCTCCCTAAATTTTATAGCACAGGTCGAGGACCTGGTTCGGGTTAAGGGCATGGGAGGCTAGAGAGAGAGCTCCCTAAATTCTAAAGGTCGAGGACCTTTGCATGAGATGAGAAAAATGTTCTAAGGTAACTGTTTTTGCATGAAATGAGCAATGTTTTTAACTGTTTTTGCATGAACTGAGCAATGTTTTTAACTGTTTCTGCATGAAATGAGCAATGATGTTATGAAACTGTTTTTTTTTTTTACACAAAACACACGCTATAGTTGGAGAACACGCTGTATGAATGTCAAGTCTCAATCAGCTTTGTCGGTAAAACAGATGGAGCTGACTGATTAACTTGAATTACATAATAAAAGAGACAGAATAAACTCCAAATGAGAGTGAATAAGTCTCTTTAGGCTTAGCAAACATATTATCTGCTCTCACAAGTGCAGATAGTAAGGATAAGTGTAAAAACACATAGATTTTTCATATCACAGCTAATAGGGATTAGTTGAATAAGCGGTGATCACCACACCCACCGCAGTTAAGATGGGTAATGAATGAATGAACTGTACTAACAAATTGTATGTGTAAGTGAGAGAAATACAGCGCGCCTTTGTGGATGCTCTAGGCAAGATTTCCTCACCTGAAATACGGTTGAAGAAGGAAATACCACAAAGGTCATTGGCACTGTCTCACTAATTAATACTGGTGAGTTAGAGCCCCCTATGGGCTAAAACCCTCATCAGTCCAAATTGTCACCAAAATTAGCAACATACTAACAGAATGATGGAAAAAGAATATGATTGTGGAACGGAGGATGATGGATGGGGACCTAATGACATTCTGAGTACATTGGGAGAGCAATTAGCTTGCATAGAGACTGTAATAAATATGACAAGCAGCCCAGTTGAAGCCACGAGAAATAAGGTTTTATTGAGAAAGTCAGCAGAAAAGGCGATGAAGGAAAAAGGAGTAGATGTTAACAGCAGAGGAAACTGGAGCAAGATTTGGGAAGTGAAGGCTGCAGAAGCGAGAGAAAAAAGGCAGGAAGCTGCAGAGACTCTGAGGGAAGCTGGAGTGTTGGCAAGAAAGAAAGTAAAAAGTGAGGTTGACAAGCAGGCAGCTCGTGTGAGTAACTACATGCAGTGGATAATGTTATGGAACGCCGCCAGGCCTAATATGAAGAGAGTAAAAAAGGAGAATAAATCTCCACCTCCTTACTCTTCTGCTGCTCCGACAGCTGGAATGTATCCATTAATTAAAGTTACAAGCGGTACATTGGACATTCAGCCTGAAGTTCCGCTTGATAATATGAGTGAGTGGTCAAGTGTAACTATGACATCAGGATCAGACGTTAAAGTCAGGCCCTCAGCCCCTGAGACACATAATCCTTTTCTGATAAGCAATGAAACATTAAACAGCAGTCCTTCTGCGAACAACTCAGCTGCACCATTCGAATTAAGAGCTAAACGACAGGACATAGATAACTCACAAAAACAATTCACCACTCCCTACTTCAGTCAGGGCCTGGTCGCACCTGACTACAGCACGGGTATGAGCTCCCATGCTCCCCCTCCAGCGCCTTGGGTAAACTGCCCACCAGTATGGCCTAAAGCACCAGATCAAAAGCAAACACCAATTTTTGCATCCTCCCAATTAAAGGGTGAAGAGCAGGAAGACCCTAATAAAAGTGTAGTGGTTAAGATGGTTCTGGTAGGGCATGAATCATCTGATCCCCCTCCAGCAGCCAGTCAGAGTCATGAATCTCTCCTAGAGGAGGAATGGCCAGAGCCGCCCACTAAGGAAGAGTTTGGGGGAGAAGGGGATTTGCTTTCCCGCCCTCAATCCCCAGAACCAGAAAGAAGACACAGTAGGTCCATGGGACCACCCACTTACCAATTACCCCTGGTGCAGAATAAACCCAACGCCCAGAAAGTCTATCAGCCGTATTCCCTTGGGGACATTCAGGCTTTAATAGATAAATTACCAGACATACAGGAGGGTGGAAATACTTGGCTCTCAGACTTTGACACCCTCACTGCTGGACAGGATCTTGCATTGGGAGACTTCAGAGCAGTAATCACTAGATGCACGTCACGCTCACAGGCGGAGGCCTTAGAGAAGGATGCTGGCACAACTCGTGATTCTAATTCTGTACCTCTCGGTAGAGTGATAGCTCAATTAGGCCCAGCAGTTAGAAGGATGTTTCCGCTGAAAGATAGCAGCTCAATGTGCAAATTTAAATGGGATGCTAAACAAAATCCCTCAATTTACCTGAACCAAGCCATTGACACCTGGGTGGCCCAAACTGGCCAACACCCATCCAAATGGGGCACGAGTAGTATGTGGTTTAAAAATGCAGTCCTGAAAGGAGTCCCTGACTTGGTGACTCAGAAAATGGAAGACAACCCTGATTTGCAGGATTGTGATTTTAGCAAGTGGAAAAAACATCTTATTTTTAACCTTAATAAAATGCAGGTAAAGGAAGAAAAAGACTCTGATGACTTGGAAGATTTACAAAAACAATTGCTCAGGGTCCAATTACAAGCCGCAAAAAAGACTTTAGGAGAAAAGGGGGACAAGGTTAAGAAACAAATGGTTGCGTCCACAGCCACACCCCCACCACAGCAGACACTCCCTGATCAGGTTTCACCTATAGCTTGGCAGCCGCAGACACCATATTCAGGGCAGCCACAGCCACAATATTCAGGGCCATATGTAAACACACCCAACCCATATGCTGCCCAGCGACCACCTTTTACTGGTCGAACCAGAGGCGGTTTCAGGGGAAGGGGACAGTGGAGGCCAGTAGGCGGCAAAGGGGGACCACGTGCTCAAGACATTTGCTACAACTGTGGTCAACCAGGACATTGGTACAGGAACTGCCCCTTGCCATACAGCCCACAAAAGGAAGGTCAAGGCAGAGGCACCTTTTCAGGAAGAGGAGGGCCTACCGGACCCCACACCCAGATGCCAATGATGGGCTGGGAACAGTGGGAGGGTGGTCCAAGACAATAGGACGCCCCACAGAGAAACTCCGACGGTCAGGGAGCCACGGCAGACCCCCTGCTGTCAATAACTGTAGATGGACAACATCAACCATTTTTGGTTGACACTGGTGCCACCTGCTCCACCATACAAACTGTGCCGCCCTCTAAAACATCTACGCGCACCATCTCAGTTACGGGCTTCTCTGGGGAACAACAAACTCTGCCTTTCTCCCTGCCACTCCCAACTATGGTGGGAAACCAGACAGTACTGCACAGCTTCGTCTGTTCACCAACCGTTCCAGTCAACTTACTAGGAAGAGATCTCCTCATCAAATTAGGAGCCACCATTTTGTGTGGTCCTACGGGACTTACTGTCACTCTGCCAGAAGGGACTATTTTGCCCTGCACCGGAGAAGCCAGTGATGGCATGTACTTGGCCCAAAAACTGCCTGACATATCAGACTGTGCTGAGATTTATTGGGCTCTGTTGGACACAGAAACCAAGGACACTCCTGGCTTAATGACTCTGTACCAGCAGTGGAAACCCTGGCTGACTCAGGTCCATCCTTATGTTTCTCCCCCTGACCCTCCTCACCTAACATTATTCTATGACAGACATGATTCAGTTTGGTACAAGGAAGCCTTCCAAAATCATTTAGAGGGACAGCAATGGTGTGTACAAACAACAGATATTTATGCTGCACCAGAAGGTGTGGCCGCAGCAGCCAACCTAACCCAGGAACAATTGGCATGGTACATGATGGAAGATGAGGCAGTACCTCATGTCTCTCGTGCTTTACATCCGGCCCATCAGGCAAAAGAACTAGGAGGAATGGTTAAACGTTCCCTAGCAACCACTGATTGGCGTTCAACTCCTCTTCCACAAGTGTCGTATTCAGACTCAACTCAGACATTTAAAATCACTGCGGTTTGTACTAATTCGACACATTTACAACAGGAAACTATTAGCAGATCACATGGCCGTGAACGAACCGATCACCCTGATGCTCTAACAATGTTAGACTCGCTCCCCACCTCCCTGTGGTCAACAGGCCCCACCGATGTTGGATTAGTGTCCATCCCACCTGTGACCTTTCACCTAAAAGATCATGCTCCCCTGTGGGTTCCACAATACCCACACAAACCATATGCTGAAGAGGGGATAGCAGACACCATCAATGGCCTGTTGCAGGCAGGGGTGTTGGAGCCATCCATGTCAGAATGGAACACTCCGATTTTACCTGTAGAAAAGAAAAATACTGGTAAATATCGAATGGTTCATGACTTGCGTCGTATAAACGCCCTACTTAACACAGATTCACTTCCCGTCCCTAACCCATATGTGGCTCTGACAAACTTACCACCTTCACATGCATGGTTTACCTGCATAGATTTGGCAAATGCATTCTTTTGTCTTCCACTTCATGAGTCTCTGAGGGACAATTTCTCTTTCACATTCAGAGGGCTGCAGTTCAGATACACTAGGTTGCCACAAGGGTTCACCCTGTCACCTGGTTTGTTCAACCAATGTTTGCGTCAGCTCCTAGACACATGCCCCCTACCTGATGACTGTGTTTTAGTGCAGTATGTTGATGATTTGCTCCTGTCAGCGCCCTCTGCGGGCTCCTGTCTGCAAGCTACTCAAACATTACTAACTCATTTGGCTAAACTTGGATTTAAGGTCAGCCAGTCCAAACTTCAAATAGCCAGGAAACAAGTGTCATTTTTGGGCAGAATGGTGTCACAAGTTGGTGTTTCATTGTCACCAGATCACAGAAACTCCATTCTCCATCACTCTAAACCTGAAACAGTCAAAGACATGTTATCTTTCCTAGGCCTGACAGGCTACAGTAGACACTTCATCCCTAACTATGTTGGTCTCACTGCCCCACTACGTGCTCTCATAGCACCTTTTGGGATGCGTCAACTCACAGCTCACCTGAACTGGACTATTCCAGCAGAAGAAGCTTTCATAAAACTTAAACAACAACTCTCCACTGCTAGTGATTTAGCTACTGCAGACTACAAGTCTACGTTTTTCCTTGATGTTTCTGGATCAGAAACTCATGTTAATGGAGTTCTGTTCCAGAAAAAAGGGGGAGGTCAGAGACAAGTCTTGATGTACATAAGTGTCATGCTAGATAACATGGAAAAAAGACACCCACCCTGCACACAACATGTAGCAGGTCTTGCAAAAATTTTACAAAAAACAGCACATATTGTAATGGGCTATCCTCTGAAAGTACTGACAACACACAGTGTAGTAGCTTACATTACATCACAAGCTTTCACCATGACCCCACTAAGACAAAGAAAAATCAGTAAGATCCTAGAGGCCCCACACATCACCTACACACATGAAGGGATAAACATGGCAGATCACATGGGTTCTGGGGAACCTCATTCGTGCGAACAAAGAACAGCAATAGAAGAAAAAGTCAGGCCAGATTTAAGTGCAATCCCACTACAAAATCCTGATAAGAACTGGTTCACAGACGGCTGTTGCTACAGAGATGACAATGATGGATTAAAAGCTGCCTGGCAGTAGTAGAGCAACTCCCTACAGGCGAGTGGTTCACTGCAGGAGCGGAAAAGCTGAAAGGACAACAGTCAGCACAGAGAGCAGAAGTATTAGCTATTATTGCAGCTCTCAAAATGAGCACAGGGAAAAAGGTAAATATTTACAGTGACTCAGCTTATGCTGTAGGAGCCGTACATGTTGAATTGAAACAGTGGTTGAGAGCTGGCTTTGTGACTGCTGGGGTGAAACCCATAAAACATGAGTCTGAGATGAGGGAACTAGCAGAAGCTTTATTCCTTCCAGCAGAAGTGGCAGTGATAAAATGCAAAGGACATAGTCAGGGCTCTGACTTTATATCTAAGGGAAATCAGGAGGCAGATAGAGCTGCCAAGATAACAGCTGAATATCTTCCTGTATATAACCTAGTGGTTGAGACAGTAACTGTTGGAAAAAGCATTGATCCTAGAATCTCCATCACAAAAGAAACACTGAAGGACATGCAAGATCAAGCTTCAGCACAGGAAAAAACTTTATGGTTGGCAAGAGGCGCCACTAACACAGATGTTTGGAGAAGTCCAGATGGTAGACCCATACTACCACCTGGCATCAGGCAAACAGCAATGGAAGAAGCGCATGGTGTTGGACATGTTGGTGTAGCACAGATGATGAGAAATTTGTCCCCCTGGTGGCATCCATACCTAACAGACATGGCCAGATATTTGGTTAAAACTTGTACAGAATGTACTCAGTTTGGCATTAAACCTACCCTGAAACCAATCCAAGGTCAATTTCCAATACCAACATGCCCTGGAAAAGAGATAATCATAGATTTCACAGATATGATTGACAGGGTAAAAGGCTACAGGTATCTCCTAGTGTGTGTAGATGCCTACACTGGATGGCCGGAGGCTTGGCCTGCGAAAAAAGAAGACAGCAAAACAGTCATCAAATATTTGATCAATCATTACATTCCCCAACATGGGTTCCCGGAAAAAATCAGATTGGACAATGGGACACATTTTAAGAACAAAGATCTACAAGAGGTTAAAACCATGCTGGGACTGAAACACAAGTTTGGTTCAGTGTATCATCCTCAGTCCCAGGGAAAGGTGGAAAGGATGAATCAAACGCTAAAGGTCAAATTGGCTAAAATCTGTGCACAGACCAAATTAACTTGGTTAGATGCTTTGCCCCTTGCTCTGATGTCCTCACGGAGCTCAGTTAACAAAACCACAAGGTTCACTCCCTTTGAACTACAGACTGGACGGCCGTTTCCAGGACCCGCCACAAAACTACCTCTGACTGCTGACCTGACTGACTCCCTCGACTCAAGGTCATATTATAACCTGTTGCATAGTCTTGTCTCTCAGTTCTCGTTACAGGTTAAGGCTGATCGTACCACCACAGATGCCCCATCTCCACAACCTGGGACAGACTGGGTCCTGCTGAAAGTCACCAAAAGGAAGTGGACGGAACCGAGGTGGACCGGACCCTACAGGATCACGGAGAGGACGTCACACGCTGTCCGGCTGGACGGCAAAGGAGACTCCTGGTACCACTGGACCCAGTGTGCTGCAGCGGAGGAGCCCCACCGCACCCTGACCGAGGTCCAAGAGAACCTGTCACAAAGGGAGGAGCCTAACCTGGAAGAGAAGCAGCCGACATCTGCCTGACCAGAAAGAGGACCAAAGGACCAGGACGAGAAGCAGCTGACATCTGCCTAACCAGAAAAAGGATCCAAAAAAAACCAGGAAGAGAAGTAGCTGACTACAGTAGCGTGCCAAGCTACCAATTCTGCGGGACGAGGTAGCATGCCAAGCTGCCACCACATCCTGCAGGACGAGAATCTTGACATCATCACCCCCTGCAGCTGCCTGGAGCCAGTGAAGGGACCTTAACAGGGGGAAGAAGTAACCACCCTACGAACATTCTGCAAGGGTTATATTTAACACCCTCCATTTATTTTATCAGGGTTCTATTTTACACCCTCATTTATTTTACAAGGGTTATATTTTATACCCACTACTCATTTTATATTACTCATTTACCTGTTTAGTATTAGATATGTGTTTGCGCTCATTGCATTTCTACAAACTTAATGTACATTCTGATCACTCATTTGTCCTGGCCGGAAGAAGATTCTGAGGGTAACATAATTCAACGAGAATCCTTTCCATTAGTCTGGTATCCAAGTAGACTGAACCGGTTGGCATACAGAGACAGCAGGTTGGGGTTGTGGAACGACAGATACTTTCGCGATTTCTCTGATTTAGAAGATTTGGTAACAATAGCAATTTTAGCTTATAGTGCGTTCTCTGGTACTGATTACAGCAGCTATAACCCATACAATTTCTTAAATTAACACCTGTATAAGCCCAATTATGTCCTGGCCATTCCCTCCCATCCTCACGTGCAGGCAACGCCTCCTGATTCTACTTCTCACTGTTATCCTGCTATGTATCCCATTGGCTATTTTGTTCCTCTGCAATGACCTCCCCTTACCACCCTCACC